CTCGTACAGGCCGCCACTTGGCTACCTTCACCCGGCAGCCGGGGTCGGACCTGTACACACTGACTACTGCCCCCCCTCAGGTCGCTGCGTCTGCGTCTGCGTCCGCGTCAGGTCAGCTGTCCGCCCCCTGCTCGTGTCGCTCTCTAGCGCACGAGACTGTCCTCTGGCACCACCGACTTGGCCACCCGTCTGTGCAGCGCCTTCGTGCCATGCACTCCCGGTACCTTGTCTCTGGTCTTCCCAGGGTCCTCCCTCCCCTCCCACCCTCGCTTGCTACTCCCTGTCTTCCCTGTGTCGAGGGGCGGCAGCGCGCCGCTCCTCACTCCTCCTCGATTCCCCCGACGACTGCTCCTTTGCAGACGCTCCACATGGACGTGTGGGGCCCAGCCCGCGTCCGTGGTCAGGGTCAGGAGAGGTACTTCCTGATCGTTGTTGACGACTACTCGCGCTACACCACGGTCTTCCCCTTGCGCACCAAGGGTGAGGTCCCTGATGTTTTGATCCCTTGGATCCGCAGAGCTCGTCTCCAGCTCAGCGAGCGTTTCCGCTCGGACTTTCCTGTCCTGCGCTTGCACTCTGACAGAGGTGGTGAGTTCTCCTCTGACCTCTTGGCAGCCTACTGTGCTGAGCACGGCATTGAGTAGTCGTTCATGCTTCCGGCCTCTCCACAGCAGAATGGGGTTGCGGAGCGCCGCATTGGCCTGGTCATGGAGGTCGCTCGTACATCCTTGATCCATGCGGCTGCCCCCCACTTTCTGTGGCCGTTTGCGGTCCGGTACGCTGCGCATCAGCTCAACCTCTGGCCCCGTGTCTCCTTGCCGGAGACCTCGCCCACACTGCGGTGGACGGGGGAGGTTGGCGATGCGTCGCGTTTCCGGGTCTGGGGATCTCGAGCTTTTGTCCGCGATTCGTCTGTGGACAAGCTCTCCTCTCGTGCTGTTCCCTGCGTCTTCCTCGGCTTTGTTCCGGACGCGCCTGGTTGGCAGTTTTACCACGCCACCTCGCGCCGGGTCTTGCCCTCTCAGGACGTCACTTTTGACGAGTCTGTCCCCTACTACCGCCTTTTCCCCTACCGCGCTGCCCAGCTCCCACCCCCGCCTCTCTTCCTCGCGCCAGGTGCTGCTGTCGTAGACCCCCTCCCCCCTCAGGGTGCCGCTCCCTCAGGTGTGTCTCAGATAGACCCGGTCGAGCCTGTTGAGGTTGCTGTCGACTCTCGTCTTGCTGGGGGTGCTGAGCCTGGGGGTGCGGACTCTAGGGGTGCTGAGCCTGGGGGTGCGGACTCAGGGGGTGCTGAGCCTGGGGGTGCGGACTCTGGGGGTGCTGAGCCTGGGGGTGCGGACACTGGGGGTACTGAGCCAGGGGGTGCTGAGCCTGGGGGTGCGGTGACTGGGGGTGCTGAGCCTGGGGGTGCTGGGTCTGGGGGTTCTACCTCTGGCGGTGCTGGGCCTGAGGGTGCTACACTTGAGTGAGACCTCTCCTCGGAGCAGTTGCGTGAGTGGTACTTACAGTACTACAGCCTCCGGAGAGGTACCTCTGGGCCCAGGCGCACTACAGGGACTGGTGCTGGTACTTCTCCTCCTAGTCGGGAGCTCCCCTCTCGTGAGCAGATCCGTGAGTGGTACGAGCGCCGTTGCACACTTCGGAGTGGCGCGCCTCGTCTCACGGACCCGGCTACCGCTGGTGCTACGGACCCGGGTGTTGGAGCTGCTGCTGGTGCTGCGGACCCTGGCGTTGGAGCTGCTGCTGGTGCTGCGGACCCAGGAGTTGGAGGTGCTACTGGTGCTGAGGACCCGGGCGTTGGAGCTGCGGCTGGTGCTGTGGACCCTGGTGTTGGAGTCCCTGCTGGTGCTGAGGAGCCGGGCGTTGGAGCTACGGCAGGTGCTGTGGACCCTGGTGTTGGAGCCACTGCTGGTGCTGAGGACTCCGGCGTTGGTGCTGAGGCTAGTACTGAGGACCTGGGCGTTGGAGCTGCTGCTGGTTCTGGTACTTCCGCTGGGGGTACTGGTGCTGTCCCTACAGTGTCTGGAGTCGCCGCGCGCCCTTTGCCGTACTTCGTTCCGCTCCTTCAGCAGGTTCTTGGTCTCTCGCCTCCTCCTGGTCCTCCTCCCTTAGCGTGTTCACAGCCTGTCCCGTCACAGTTACAGCTGCAGCCGGCCTCCCCACTACTTGCTCCTTCTCCTTACACTGGTCCTACTGGCGGTCTTACTGAGCGTCGTGAGTCTGCATCTCGTCCTGCGTCGCCTGTCAGTCCTGCTAGCGCTAGTGCTTGTAGTTCGCGTCAGCGTCCTCCTCCTGCCCCTGGCACGCACCGGATGTCTCTCCGTCCGTCTACTGCTCCTCTGCGTGCCCCTTTGCCTTCTCCTCCTGCGTCCTCTCTTCCTGCTCTCGCCGACCCTGCGTCAGACTCTCTTCGTGCTGCCAGTCCTACTGTCACGCGTCTCCTTGCTACTGCCGTCACTGACCCTTCTTTCGAGTCTTCTGCTGCGTCTGCCCTAGTTGCTGAGCTCGTCGACTTTGCTGCTCACTGTCGCCTAGACTACGCTGCGAGTCTTGTCGCTGAGTCTCAGTCTGTCTGTCCTCCGTCCGTCGGGGGTGCGTGTGCCCTTGGCACGGACGTCCTTGAGGACAGGCAGGAGGAGTTCCAGTGGTTGGCCGCTGCTTCACCTCATCTCATGTCCGTACTGCTTACCCCTGAGGGAGACCCGGATCCCCTTCACATCCCGACTCCGCGCTCTTACGCGGAGGCGATAGAGGGTCCCTACTCCTCTCAGTGGCAGGCAGCTATGGATGCAGAGATGGCTTCCTGGAAGTCCACAGGCACCTACATTGACGCTGTCCCCCCTCCTGGGGCGAACATCGTCAGTGGCATGTGGATCTTCAGGGTGAAGCGGCCGCCGGGTTCTCCGCCTGTCTTCAAGGCGCGTTACGTGGCTCGTGGCTTCAGTCAGCGGCAGGGAGTTGACTACTTTCAGACCTTCTCCCCCACCCCGAAGATGACCACTCTTCGGGTACTCCTGCACGTTGCTGCTCACCGGGATTACGAGCTTCACTCTCTCGACTTCAGCACAGCTTTCTTGCAGGGCAGCCTGCACGAGGAGATCTGGCTGCGTCGCCCACCTGGCTTCACTGGGTCTTTCCCTCCCGGTACCCAGTGGAGTCTCCGCCGTCCAGTCTACGGTCTCTGCCAGGCGCCACGTGAGTGGCACGACACACTGAGGACTACGCTTGCGGCTCTTGGGTTCGCTCCTTCTACTGCCGACCCGTCGCTGTTTCTGCGCACCGACACCTCTCTGCCGCCGTTCTACATCCTCGTGTACATCGACGACTTGGTCTTTGCCACAGCTGACACTACTGGACTCGCCTACGTGAAGTCCGAGCTGCAGAAGAGACACACGTGCACTGACCTGGGTGAACTGCGCAGCTACCTTGGCTTGCAGATCACCCGGCACAGAGCACGCCGCACCATCACCCTGACTCAGTCACACATGGTGCAGCAGGTCCTTCAGCGCTTCGGCTTCACGTACTCCTCGCCTCAGGCCACTCCTCTGTCTACTCGCCACTCGCTCTCAGCTCTGCCTTCGGATGAGTCCGTAGAGTCGAGTGGCCCGTACCCAGAGCTTGTTGGCTGTCTCATGTACCTGATGACCTGCACACGACCTGACCTTGCATACCCTCTTAGCATTCTTGCACGCTATGTTGCTCGTGGGAGACACCGACCAGAGCACATGGCTGCAGCGAAGAGGGTGTTGCGCTACTTGTGCAGTACGTCGGGCATGGGGCTAGTGCTTGGAGGGCGAAGTCCAGTGGTCCTCACTGGACACGCAGACGCTTCTTGGGCTGACGACCAGGCTACGCAGCGGCCGTCAAAGGGTTACACCTTCAGCCTTGGTTCCGGCTCTGTTTCATGGCGGGCTACTCGCTCGTCTTCTGTTCTCGGCTCCAGTTGTGAGGCTGAGATCTACGCAGGGGCCATGGCTGCTCAGGAGCTTCGCTGGCTCACCTACCTGCTGACCGACCTTGGAGAGCTGCCTCGTTCTCCTCCAGTCCTGTACGTCGACAACAAGGCCATGCTGGCCTTGTGTCAAGAGCAGAGACTGGAGCACAGAACAAAGCACATTGCTCTCCGCTAATTCCTTGCTCATGAGCTACAGCAGCGTGGTCAGTTGCGACTTGCGTACGTGGCCTCCGAGGCCAACACTGCTGATGTCTTCACCAAGGCACTTCCGCCTTGTGATAATCAGCGCGGCTGTACCCAGTTGGGTCTTGTGTCTGTCTTGCCTCACTTGCTCTCCTCTTGACCCTCTTTGTGCTGTTACATATATAAATTGCTGCTCTTGCTTGTTTAGTCTTATATATATATGTACTCCTGCATGTGAACTGGCCTTGTGGCCTTGAACTTGTGCTCGGATTGTGTGGTGACGTTGTGATCCACCCTGAGCTTGCTTTGCTTTGCTTTACTTGACTGGTCTTGTGACCCCTTGTTCTCCCCCACTTCGCCTATGGGGGTGTATCAAACATTATATATGCTGTTGTAGTTAGCTAGGCTACACTGGGTTAGCCTATAGGGGGTACACATTTCTAGGGTTTCATACTTGTACTCATTTTCACTGTTAGTTCATTCATTCTTGTTCAACAGTCGCCGCTCCTTCGCGGCAGCGACGCCGCCCTTCACGGCCCCGCCGAGCCGCCTTTGCTGCCGACCCAACAAGCCGCCGAGGCGGTGAGCCGATGAGCCGCCGAGCCGCCGAGCTACCGAGCCGCCGAGCCGCCGAGCTTCCGAGCCGCCTTTTCCGCCGAGCTGCCGAGCCGCCTTTGCCGCCAAGCCGCCTTTGCCACCGAGCCGCCGAGCCGCCTTTGCCGCCGGGCCGCCGAGCCGCACTGCAGCTGAGACGCCGCCGCCTACTAGCCTGCCCCGGAGCGCCTTACTTGCCTGGTAAGAGCAGCGCCTCTGCCACTGCACTTCCCTAACCCACCGTGCTCACTGCCTCTCTATGGCTATCATGGCCACCCCTAGTGTTCTCACCTTTGACGCTGAGGGTCGGGCTTTTGACTTTGAGGTCTGGGTAGATGATCTGCAGCTCTTCCTACAGTGCGATAGGGCACACGGTCTCTCCCTGTTTGACCTCACTTCTGGTGCCTCTCCTGCCCCTGCTGCTGATGCTGACGCCACTGTTCACTCACAGTGGGCCACGCGCGATGCTGCTGCCCGCCTTGCTGTGCGCCGCCACTTACCGACCGCTGAGCGTGCGCATTTTAGTCAGTACAAGAGTGCTAAGACCTTGTACGACGCTGTAGTTGCACGCTACTCTTCCCCTGCCACTGCTGCTCTTAGTCGCCTCATACTGCCGTACCTCTTCCCTGGCCTCGCCGCTTTTCCCACAGTCGCTGACCTCATTACGCACCTTCGCACAAGTGACACTCGCTACCGCGCTGCGCTTCCTGCTGAGTTCTGCGCCAAGAACCCCCCCCCTATGTACATCACCCTCTACTACATAGTCACCCGGCTCCCTGACACCCTTCGCTTGGTCAGGAACCACTTTCTCTCTGTGTGCCCCACCACTCTCACCGTTGACCTCCTCGAGGAGCGCCTCCTAGCAGCAGAGAAAGGTATAGTCGCTGTAGGAGCCTCTCGTGGTGACCCTCGTACCCCTGTCTTTGAGGGGTGCTCCCCCTCTCCCCTCTTGCCCTCTCTTGCCTCTGCTGCTGCAACCGACCTCGTTGGTCTTGAGTCGGTCGGTGCGGCGTCTGCCCCTAGCGGGAGACGCCGCTCAGGCAAGGGCAAGGGGGGCAAGGGCGCTGGAGGAGCTGGCGGGGGTGGTGGAGGTGGCGGTGGAGGCGGCGGAGGGGGTGGGGGTGGCGGTGGGAGTGGTGGCGGGGGTGGGGGTGCTAGTGGCGGCAGTGGAGGCAGAGGAGGAGGCGGTGGTGGCGGTGCGGGCGGAGGTGGCGGAGGTGGAGGCGGTGGTGGAGGTAGCGGCGGCGGAGGTGGAGCTGGTCGGGGCGGCTCTACGCAGAGGGCCGGCTCCGGTGGTGGTCAGCGCCAGCAGCAGCAGCAGCAGCGCACTCGTGAGACCTCTTCCCCCCAGCAGCTTCGTGAGTGGTACACTGCTCGTCAACGGGGTGGGAGTGCTGGCCCCTGTACCTACGTCCTCTGTAACGGCGACCGTACGGGTGAGCAGTGTGGGGGTCTGCACTCCACCCAGCGCTGCTTCGGTCGTCTGACGGATGCTTGGCGTCACCAGTTCCCCGACGCTACAGAGATCCCTCGCTGGGGCGAGCTGTTTAGGGCGGGTGTTGCGATCTTTGATCTTGATTATGATGCTATTCTTGCTGCCATGTATGCTGTGACTATTAGTGATGAGGGTGACTGTTACCGGTGTTTTCCGCCTGACCCGGGCATTGTTGCTGCTGCTCTAGGTGCTGGTGAGGCTGCTGCTCTAGGTGCCAGTGATTCTGCTACCCCAGGTGCTGGTGAGTCTGTGCTCTCAGGTTCCGCGTCGGCTACGGCCACCCACACCTTCACCCTTGACTCGGGTGCTTCCCGCTACTTCTTTCGAGACCACACCACGCTCATGCCGCTTAGTCGGCTAGTGACAGTCTCCCTGGCAGACCCCTCTGGGGGTCCTGTCCTTGCCCACTTCTCCACTATCCTACCGTGTCCAGGGGCCCCTTCTGGCACCCTGTCTGGTCTTGACCTCCCTTCGTTCTCTACGAACTTGGTGAGTGGTGCTGACCTCCAGGATGCAGGGGTTCACCACAGTCAGCGAGCGACCCACTGTACCTGTGCTCAGACGGGCCGTCACTCGGCCACGTTTACCCGTCAGCCGGGGTCGAGCCTGTACACACTGACTACTGAGTCTCCTCCAGTCGCTCAGTCTGGTCAGGTAGCTACGTCAGGTCAGGTGTTTGCTGCGGCGTCCAGGTCTGGCCCTGAGTCTGCCCCCTGCTTGTGTCGTCTCCTGTCTCACCAGACTCTCCTCTGGCACCACCGCCTTGGTCACCCCTCCCTGCCTTGTCTTCGAGGCATGGCTTCCCATGTCCTTGTCTCTAGTCTTCCCCGGTCCCTCCCTCCCCTTCCTCCGGGGCCTGCCCCCACCTGTGTTCCCTGCGTTGAAGGGCGGCAGCGCGCTGCTCCTCACTCCTCCGAGTTCCCTCCGACAGAGGCTCCGCTGCAGACGCTTCACATGGACGTGTGGGGGCCAGCCCGCGTCCGTGGACAGGGTCACGAGCGTTACTTTTTGCTGGTGGTTGATGACTACTCGCGTTACACCACGGTCTTCCCTTTGCGCCGCAAGGGTGAGGTCACTGAGGTGTTGGTGAGGTCACTGAGGTGTTGATCGCCTGGATCCTCGCAGCTCGTCTCCATCTCAGAGAGAGTTTCGGCTCGGACTTTCTTGTTCTGCGTCTGCACTCCGACAAAGGCGGAGAGTTCTCCTCTGAACTTCTGCGAGCCTTCTGTCGTGCACGAGGCATCCGCCAGACTTTCACGCTTACGGACTCTCCACAGCAAAATGGGATTGCTCAGCACCGCATTGGCATGGTCATGGACGTCGCTCGTGCGTCCATGGTCCATGCGGCTGCCCCCCATTTTCTGTGGCCGTTTGCGGTTCGGTACGGGGCGCATCAGATCAACCTTCAGCCCCGGGTCTCCATGCCGGAGACTTCCCCTACTCTGCGGTGGACGGGGAAGGTTGGCGATGCGTCTGCGTTCCGTGTCTGGGGATCTCGGGCCTTTGTTCGCGACTTGTCTGCGGACAAGCTGTCCCCTCGTGCTGTTCCCTGCGTCTTCCTTGGCTTCCCCCCTGATGCGCCAGGCTGGCAGTTCTACCACCCCACCTCGCGCCGTGTTCTGTCCTCCAAGGACGTCACGTTTGACGAGTCGGTTCCCTACTACCGTCTCTTCCCCTACCACACTACGTCCCTCCCCCCCCCCGCCGCTCTTCCTTACGCCAAGTCCCCCTCCGGTAGACCCCCTCCCCCCTCAGGGTCCTGCCCCCTCAGGTGTGTCCCAGGTAGACGAAGTCGAGCCTGTCGAGGTAGCTGTTGACTCTGGTGCTGCTAGGGGTACCGAGCCTGCGGGTGCGGGGTCTGGGGGTGCTAAGCCTGCGGGTGCGGGGTCTGGGGGTGCTGAGCCTGGGGGTGCTGCGTCTGGGGGTGCTGAGCTTGGGGGTGCCTCGCCTGGGGGTGCTGAGCCTGGGGGTGCTGCGTCTGGGGGTGCTGCGTCTAGGGGTGCGGAGTCCGAGGGTACTGGGCCTGCTCGTGTGGCGCCTGGTGGTGCTGGGCCTGGCGGTTCTTAGGGTGCTTCGTCCCGGCGGGAGCTACTCTCTCCACAGGAGCTTCGTGAGTGGTTTGCCCGACGCTGGAGGCGTACTGCTGGAGCTGGAGAAACTGCAGGCGCTGGAGGTTCTGCTGCTGCTGAGGGTGCTCGTGCCACGGGTCCCAGAGGTGCTCGTACTGGGAGTACTGGAGCTGCTGGGCCTGCGGGTGCTTCTAGTACTGGAGCTGGTGGTGCTGCGGGCGTCGGTGCTACTGGGGGTGCTAGAGCTGGTGGACCTGCTGTATCTTCTGGTGGTCCAGCTGGAGCTGGAGCTGCTGGGGGTGTTGGCGCTGAGGGTGTTTCTCGTGCTGGTGCCTCTAAGGGTGCTGGAGTTGGCGCTGCTGGAGCTGGGGGTGCTGCTGGCGCTGGTACTGTCGTTCGGGGTGCTGGTGCTATCCCTTCTGGTGCTAGTGGTGCTGAGCGGCCGCGGCCGTACTTCGTTCCGCTCCTTGAGCAGGTTCTTGGTCTTCCGCCCTCTGCTAGTCCGGCTCCTCCCTTAGAGTGTCCACCGCCTTTCCAGTCCGAGTCACAGTTACAGCCTACCTCTCCTCTGCCTGCTCCTTCTCCCTACGCTGGTCCTACCGGAGGTCTTGCTGAGCGTCGTGAGCAGTCTCGTCCTGCGTCGCCTGTCCGTGCTGCTCGCACTAGTCGTCATGGTTCGCATCAGCGTCCTCCCCCTATCCCCGGCACGCACCGGATGTCTCTGCGTCTGTCCACTGCTCCTCTGCGTGCCCCTTTGCCTTCTCCTCTTGAGTCCGCTCTTCCTGCTCTTGCTGACCCGGAGTCGGACTCCCTTCGTGTTGCCCGTCCTACTGTCACCCGTCTCCTTGCTACTATCAACACTGACCCTTCCTTTGAGTCCACTGCTGCGTCTGCCCTAGTTGCTGAGCTTGTCGACTTCGCTGCTCGCTGTCGCCTAGACTACACTGCTAGTCTTATCGCTGAGTCTGAGTCTGTCTGTCCTCCGTCCGTCGGGGGTGAGTGTGCTCTTGGCATGGACGTCCTTGAGGACAGGTAGGAGGAGTTCTAGTGTCTTGCAGCTGCTTCACCCCATCTCGTGTCCATTTTACTTGCCCCTGAGGGAGACCCGGATGCACCAGACATCCCGACTCCGCGCTCTTACGCGGAGGCGATAGAGGGTCCCTACTCCTCTCAGTGGCAGGCAGCCATGGACGTAGAGATGGCTTCCTGGAAGTCCACAGGCACCTACGTTGACGAGGCTCCCCCGCCTGGGGCGAACATCGTCAGTGGCATGTGGATTTTCAGGGTGAAGCGGCCGCCGGGTTCTCCGCCTGTCTTCTAGGAGCGTTACGTGGCTCGTGGCGTCAGTCAGTGGCAGGGAGTTGACTACTTTCAGACCTTCCCTCCCACTCCGAAAATGACCACTCTTCGGGTACTGCTGCACATAGACGCTCACCGTGTCTACAAGCTTCACTCTCTTGACTTCAGCACTGCTTTCTTGCAGGGCAGCCTGCACGAGGAGATCTGGCTGCGCCGCCCACCTGGCTTCACTGGGAATTTTCCTCCTCGCACCTAGTGGAGCCTCCGGCGGCCAGTCTACGGTCTCCGCCAGGCACCTCGTGAGTGGCACGACACACTGAGGACTACACTTGCGGCTCTTGGGTTTGCTCCTTCTACTGCCGACCCGTCGCTGTTTCTGCGCACCGACACTTCTTTGCCGCCGTTCTACATCCTCGTGTACGTCGACGACTTGGTCTTTGCCACAGCTGACACTGCTGGACTCGCCTACGTGAAGTCCGAGCTGCAGAAGAGACACACGTGCACAGACCTAGGTGAACTGCGCAGCTACCTTGGCTTGCAGATCACCGGGGACAGAGCAGAGCGCACCATCACCCTTACCTAGTCACACATGGTGCAGCAGGTCCTTTAGCGCTTCGGCTTGACGTACTCCTCGCCTCAGGCCACTCCTCTGTCTACTCGCCACTCGCTCTCAGCTCTGCCTTCGGATGAGTCCGTAGAGCCGAGTGGCCCGTACCCAGAGCTTGTTCGCTGCCTCATGTACTTGATGACCTGCACACGACCTGACCTTGCATACCTTCTTAGCATTCTGGCACGCTATGTTGCTCCTGGGAGACACCTCCCTGAGCACATGGCTGCAACGAAGAGGGTGTTGCGCTACTTGTGCAGTACGTCAGGCATGGGGCTAGTGCTTGGAGGGCGGAGTCCAGTGGTCCTCACTGGTCACGCAGACGCGTCTTGGGTTGAAGACTTGGCTACGCAGCGGTCGTCACAGGGTTACACCTTCAGCCTTGGTTCCGGTTCTGTTTCCTGGCGGTCTACCCGCTCTTCTTCTGTTCTGAGCTCCAGCTGTGAGGCTGAGATCTACGCGGGGGCCATGGCTGCACAGGAGTTACGCTGGCTCACCTACCTGGTGACTGACCTCGGAGCCGCCTCGTTCTCCTCCAGTTCTGTACGTAGACAACAAGGCCATGCTGGCCTTGTGTCGAGAGCACAGACTGGAGCAGAGAACAAAGCACACCCCTCTTCGCTACTTCCTTGCTGCAGCAGCGTGGTCAGTTGCGCCTTGCTTACGTGGCCTCTGAGGCCAACACTGCTGATATCTTCACCAAGGCACTCGCGCCTTGTGATCATCAGCGGTTCTGTACTCTGTTAGGTCTTGTGCCTACCTTGCCTCACTTGCTCACTTCTTGACCTTGCTTGTACTGTTACATATATATCTGCCTGCTATTGCTTGTTTAGCATTATATATATGTTATCAGGCATGTGAACTGGCCTTGTGGCCTTGAACTTGTGCTCAAAATGTGTGGTGACGTTGTGATCCACCCTGAGCTTGTTTTGCCTTGCTTTGCTTGACTGGTTTTGTGACCCCTTGTTCTCCCCCACTTTGCCTATAGGGGTGTGTCAAACTTATATGATCTAGCATGTGTAGGCCGTAGCGGGTCAGACACTAAGGGGTACACAATTCTAGGGTTTCATATTTGTATCACTTTCATTCCTTAGTCAATCCATTCTCGTTCTAAGTTTCTCACAAGGCGCCGCGACGAAGTGACGGGAGGGGCCGGCGCGCGGGCCCCCAGGGCGCCGCGACGAGACGACGGAAGGAGGGCGACAAGCGGGCCCCTAGGGCGCCGCACGAAGCAGGAAATCGCCGCGCGCCTCGGGGCGCACGGCGGGCAGAAAACCGCGGCGCGCCCCGAGCGCGTGGTGTCGGAACATTATATAGCTTATACATTTGTGTAGGCTGTAGTGGGGTATCCCATAGGGGGTACAACCCAATTAGCGTTAGTACTTGTACCCACTTCATTCATAGTCCACTCATCCTCGTTTCAGTTTTCTCATGGTATCATAGCAGGTTCCCTCGTGGGAACTGTTCCTAGGGCCCTACTACTGCTTCCGCTGCTACTCGATCTGTCGCACGCCCCGTGGCGTGCGACCTATTTTCATCTCGGCGCGCTGGCGATTTTTCTTTCTGGCGCGCGCCCCGAGGCGCGCGGCCCCGCTACCCCGTCGCGCCGCCCTAGCGGCCGCATCGCGCCGCCCTAGCGGCCCCGATCCGCCGCCCTAGTGGCCCCGTCACCTACCCCTGCGGCCCCAGGCGCCGCCCTTCCCGGCCCCGGCGCCACCTCGGCTGGCCCCGTCGCCTACCCCGGCGACTCCGACGCCGCTCTTCCGGCCTCGGCGCCGCCTCTGCTGGCCCCGTTGCCTACCTGCGGCCCCGGCGCCGCCTCTGCTGGCCCCGTCGCCACTCCACTCGGCCCCGCCGCCGTCCCCAAGCGGCCCTGCCGTCACCACCGAGCCGCCGGCGCCGCCGAGCTGCTGCCGAGCCGCCCGAGCCACCTGAGCCGCCCGAGTCGCAGCACCACCTGAGCCGCCTGAGCCGTTCGAGCCGCCGAGTCGCCGAGCCGCAGTTGCCGCCGAGCCGCTCGAGTCGCCCGAGCCGCCGAGCCGCAGTTGCTGCCGTGCCACCGTGCCGCCGAGCTGCCCGAGCCGCCCGCACCGCCGAGTCGCCGAGTAGCGAGTCGTCGAGCCTGCTCTTCCCACCACCTGGTGAGCCCCTGCCTTACTAGCGCGCTGCCCGCCGCCTGCTTGGCTACCTCCCTTACTGCTGCTACTCCTGCTCCTACTTCTACTGGCGGAGCCAGATGCAGCCCCAGCGACGTCCGCGTGAGGTCCCTCACGCTCCAGCAGCTGCGTGAGTGGTACGCTGGTTGGGGTTGTAGGGGTGGCGGCGCTGCTACCCTGCTACTCCTACTGGCGGCGGCCAGATGCAGCTCCAGCGACGCGCCCGCGCGTGTCTCTCACGCCCCAGCAGCTTCGTGAGTGGTACGCTCAGAGTAGAGGGTCTCTCATTTCTGTTCGCTGCTCTTACGTGATTCGTACCGGTGCTCGGAGTGTCATCCTGTGGGACGCCTAGTCACACACAGTCCCGCTGCTTCGCCCGTCTGAGCGACGCCTGGCGTACCGAGTTTGGCGACGAGGCTTGAGCTCCCCGACTGGGTGGAGTTGCTTAGGCAGAGGGTAGATATATTTGCTCTTGACTATGATGCTATTCTCACTGCCATGTATGCATTGCCTACTAGTGCTGACCGTGCCGGTACACCTGTGTGTACCGCCTGACCCGGGTATAGGGCCTGCTGCTCTAGCTGCTGGTGAGGCTGCCTGCTCTGGGTGCTAGTGAGTCTCCTGCTCCAGGTACAGGTGCGGCTGCTGCTCTAGGTGCTAGTGAGTCTGCTTCCTTAGGTGCGGGTGAGTCTGCTCTCTCAGGTACCGCGTCGGCTCCGGCCTCTCACACCTTCACTCTTGACTCGGGGGCTTCCCGCTCCTCACCACACTCACGCCGCTTGGTCGGCCAGTTGCAGTCTCTCTGGCAGACCCCTCTGGGGGTCCTGTCCTTGCTCACTTCTCCACTGTCCTCCTGTGTCCGGCGGCCCCCTCTGGCACCCTGTCTGGTTCTTTACCTCCCCTCGTTCTCTACGAACTTGGTGAGTGGTGCTGACCTACAGGATGCGGGGGTTCACCAGTTCACTCCTGCGAGTCAGCGGGTGACCCACTGCACGGACGCTCGGACAGGCCGACACCTGGCCACGTTACACGTCGGCCGGGGTCGAGCCTGTACACACTTACCACTGCGTCTCCTCCAGTCACTGCGTCTGGTCAGGTAGCTGCGTCGGGTCAGGTGTTTGCTGCAGCGTCCAGGTCTGCGTCCTGAGTCTGCCCCCTGCTCGTGTCGCCTCCTGTCTCACGAGACTCTCCTCTGGCACCACCGCCTTCATCACCCCTCCCTCCTTCGTCTCCAAAGTATGGCCTCCCGTTGTCCTTGTCTCTGGTCTTCCCCGGTCCCTCCCTCCCCTTCCTCCGGGGCCTGGCCCTACCTGCGTCCCCTGTGTCAAGGGGCGGCAGCGGGCTGCCCCTCACTCCTCTCTGTTTCCTCCGATGGAGGCCCCGCTGCAGACGCTTCACATGGACGTGTGGGTGCCCGGCCCGCGTCCGTGACGGGGTCACGAGCGCTACTTCCTGCTGGTGGTTGACCGACTACTCGCGTTACACCACAGTCTTCCCCTTACGCAGCAAGGGTGATGTCACTGAGGTGTTGATGGACTGGATCCGCGCAGCTATCTCCAGCCCAGGCGGAGCTTCGGCTCGGAATTTCCTGTTCTGCGTCTGCACTCTGACAGAGGCGGAGAGTTCTCCTCTGGCCCTTCTGCGAGCCTACTGTCGTGCACGAGGCATCCGCCAGACCTTCACGCTTCCGGACTCTCCACAGCAAAATGGGATTGCTGAGCGCCGCATTGGCATGGTCATGGACGTCGCCCGTACGTCCATGATGCATGCGGCTGCCCCCCATTTTCTGTGGCCGTTTGCGGTCCGGTACGCGGCGCATCAGATCAACCTTCACCCCAGGGTCTCCCGCCCGGAGGACCTCCCTAGCCTTTGCTGTGGACGGGGAAGGTTGCGATGCGTCTGCGTTCCGTGTCTTGGGATCCTCGGGCGTTTGTTCGCGACTTGTCTGCGGACAAGCTATCCCCTCGTGCTGCTCCCTGCATCTTCCCAAGTTTCCCCCCTGACGCGCCAGGGTGGCAGTTCTACCACCCCACCTCTCGCCGTATCTGTCCTCCCAGGACGTCACGTTCGACGAGTCGGTCCCCTACTACCGTCTCTTCCCCTACCGCACTCCGTCCCTCCCCCCGCCATCACTCTTCGTTGTGCCAGGTCCCCCCCCGGTAGAACCCCCTCCCCCCTCAGGGCCCTGCCCCTTCAGGTTGTGTCCCAAGTAGACGCTGTTGAGCCTGTCGAGGTCGCCGGTGCTGCTGAGGGGCTGAGCCTGGGGGTGCTGACTCTGGGGTGCTGAGCGTGTGGGTGCTACGCCTGGGGGTGCTGAGTCTGGGGGTGCTGAGCCTGGGGGGTACTGAGCCTGGGGGTTGCTGAGCCTGTGGGGTGCTGAGCTTGGGGGTGCTGAGACTGGGAGTGCTGAGCCTAGGGGTGCTGAGCCTGGGGGTGCTACGCCTGGGGGTGCTACGCCTGGAGGTGCTGAGCTTGGAGGTGCTGAGCATGAGGCAGCTGGGCCTGCTCGTGTGGCGTCTGGCGGTGCTGTGCCTGGCGGTTTCTCCGGGTGCTTCGTCCTCGCTGGGAGCCACTCTCTCCACAGGAGCTGCGTGAGTGGTTTGCCCGGCGCTAGAGGCGAGCTGCTGGAGCTGGGGGTGCTGCGGGTACTTGAGGTTCTGCTGCTGCTGAGGGTGCTGGTGCCGCGGGTCCTGGAGGTGCTATGTACTGGGAGTACTGGAGCCGCTGGGCTGTGGGTACTTCTGGAGTTGGAGCTGCTGCGGGTGTTGGCGCGGAGGCTACTGCTGTCGGTCCTGGAGGCGGTCATACTGGGGGTGCTAC